CTCACAAACACAAGGTCCTGAGTTTGATCCCCGGTACCAAAAAATTTTTTTTGAATACTTCTGGTCCCAATTATTTTAGACAAGAAGTACTCAGTTATAGTTGCTTTATTTATAATTGCTGCTACAGACTGAATATTTGTGTCCTTTCAATTTTTTTTTTTTTTTTTTTTTTTTTTTTTGTAGTGGAGATCAAACTTGGGCCCTTGTGCTTGCAAGGCAGGTGGTGGAACCACTGAGCTAAATCCCTGGCCCTCAAATTTTTTTTTGTACCAGGAATCAAACTCAGGGCCTTGCACGACTGAGCTACATCCCCAGCCCTATCCTTTCAAATTTCATATGCTGAAATCTAATCTCTCATGTGATAGTATCTGGAGGTCCTTGAGAATGGAGCAGCAGTGCCTTGATGAGAGACTAGAAAGCTAGCTTGCCCTCCTTCCCCCACATGGTGATACAAAGAGAAATCAGCTGTCTGCAACCTGGAGCAGAACCAGAATCTGTGCTAGCATCCTGATCTTGTGCTTCCAAACTCCAGGACTGTGAGATAGCAATGCATGTTATTTAAGCAACCCAGTCTATGGTAACTTTTTACAGTAGTAAGAACTAAGACAACTGCCAAAACCTTGAAGAAACCAAAATGTACTTCCATAGGTAGATGGATAAACAAACTGTGATATATCCAGACTATGGAATATCAGAACTAAAAAGAAATGAGTTATCAAGCCATGAAAAGATATGGAGAAACTTAAGTACATATTGTAGAGTAAAAGAAGCAATATGAAAAGCTATTCATTGTATGATTTCTTCAATTTAGTACAGATGCTCCTCAATTCAGGATGAGGTTATGTTGGGATAAATACATTATAAATTTAAAATAATGTCAATTTAAAATGTATTTAGGGCTGGGTGTGATGGTGCACGCCTATAATCCCAGCACTAGGGAAGCTGAGGCAGGAGGACCACTGTGACTTCCGAGACCAGCCTGGGCTACATAGTGAGTTCCAGGTCAGTCTCAACTACACAGTGAGACACTGTCTCAAAAAACAAAACAAACAAACAAACAAAAAATGTATTTAGGGCTAGTGATTTAGCTCAGTGGTTCTACCACCCGTCTCACAAGCGCAAGGACCCGAGTTAGTAAGTAAGTAAGATAGTAAGTAAGCAAATAAATAAATAAATAAATAAATAAATAAATAAATATAGGGCTGGGGATTTTGCTCAGTGGTGCTGCCACGTGCCTCTCAAGCTCAAGGACCCAAGTTCGATCCCCAGTACCAAAAAAACGTATTTAATTACACCTAATCTCCTGAAGATCACAGCACAGCACAATGCAAAGTATCCATTGTTTACCCTTATAATGTACAGCTATGTGGCAGCTTAGCTCACTGTCATTGCCCAACTTTGCAAGAGTATTGTACTATATATTTTTAGCCTGCAAAAAGACCAAAATTCATAATTTGATATATGGTTTCTACTGAATGTCTATTGCTTTCACACCACTGTAAAGAAAAAAAATAAAACCTGAATTGTGCACAGCATTCTGGTAAAAGAAAAATTACAAAGACAATAAAAGATAAGTGATTGACTAAGTTGGTGGGGCAAGAACACACAGAGCACAGGGTATTTTTTAAAGCAGTGAAGTTATTCTAAAGAACACTGTTTGGATGGATTCATGAAATTATGCCATGAAACTGTACTACACTAAGGGTGAGGCCTAACCTGAACTATAGGCTTTGGGTGGTAATAAAGTTCCAGTGGAGGTTTATCAATTGTAACAAATCTATTGCTCTGGTAGCTGATATTGATAATGCAGGAGGCTGTGCCTATATGGTGATAGGAATACACAGGAAATCTCTATACCTTCCTGCTCAATTTTGCTATGAACCTAAAACTACTCTAAAAAAAAAAGTCCACTGGACATGGTGGTACATGCCTATGATCCCAGCCACTTGACTCAAAAGCTCAGCCACTTTACTCAAAAGTCTGTGCTTGGACTCAAACTTGGGGAGATTTAGTAATTTAGTGAGACTTTGTGACTTAGTGTGATCTTTGTCTCAAAATTATTAAAAAGAGATGGGGATGCAGTTCAGTGTGAAGAGTTGGGTTCAATCCCCAAATACAGGAAAAAACAAAAAGACTAAAATGGCAAATTATGTTATCACAATAAGCTTTTTTTTTTTTTTTTGGTACTGGGGATCGAACTTGGAACCTTGAACTTGCGAGACAGGTGGCAGAACCACTGAGCTAAATCCCTGGCCTCCAAGAATATTTTTAAAAGGTCAAAAATCCTATCAGTTTCCCTGACACCTCCCCCTACCAGTTATAGCCCTATTATTTTCTCTGCTTTTCTGATACAGCAAAAATGTTCAAAAGACTTGAGATTTACAATTTCCATTCTTCTACTATCTCACTAGGAGTTTTGTTTCATTTTATTTTGTTTTTATTTATTTTTTATGGTGCTTATGAGGACTGAATCCATGCACGCTAGGCAAGCCCTCTTCCACTGAGCTACATCCCCACTCTGTTACCACTTTAACCTTCTAATCTCTCAAGCTCCTATACTTCTGCCACTTCACTCAAATTGCTTTTGCCTACTACAAAATGGAACAGACAGTTGTTAGTCTTAATCTTACTGATTTATCAAAAGCTTCTGGTACACATGATCCTTCTGCCTCAAAACATAATGTTCCTTTGGCTTCCAAGACACTGTCCTATCCTGATTTTCCTGCTACTTTACTGATATCACTCCTTCTGAGTCATTGTTGGGGTTTGGATTTAAAATAGTACCCCAAAGTTTCACATGTTTGGAAGGTGACTACATCTTGGGGGTGCTATACTCACTGGTGGATTGGTTCGCTATAGGTTCACAGCTGATGTGCTGTTAGGAAGAGGGGACTAGTTGGAGGAGGTGGGTCATGGGGATCATGACCTGGAAGAGTGCATCTCCCTCCCTGGCTCCTCCCTTCTCTGCTTCCCGCCCACCAAAACATGAGCAGCTTTCCTCCCCACCAGGCCTTCCCACTATGCCCTTCCTGCCTGTGAGCCAGCCAGCTATGAACTGAAACTATGACCCAAAATAAATCTCTCCTCCTTTAATTGGTGGGTATCAGGTGTTATGTCCCAGCTGCAAGGAAAGTGACTAAGTCAGTCACCTTCACTTGTTCATTCTCTTCTGAGACATTTAACACTATCTTGCCCCTAACTTCATCTACTCTTTTGGGCATCTCACCCAGTCTCATATTCTTAAATATTGTCTAGGTGCCAACAGGTCTAAATGTCTATCTCTAGCTCAAATAGTACCCTTGAACTCCAGCCTTATATATCCAGCTGCCTATTAAATAATTCCATTTTTTTGGTAACAAAATATCAAACTTAACCAAAGCTGATCTACCACTCTCCTCCTAAAACCTGTTCCACTTGCAGTCTTTTCCATCAGTTATTGTTAAATTTATTTTTTTAGCTGCTCATATCAAAATTCTTGGGCTCTTGTTTAACTCCATTCTATTTCTCACACTTCAAATTCAGTACATTTCTATATGTATGTCCTGAATCTACCCACATCTCACTATTTGTACTACCTTCTTACTGACCCAGACCACCCTCATCTCTTGCCTGGACTGTTGCGGGAGCCCTGTATCTAGTCTCCCTGCTTCTTTACTTACTCTCTACCAATTGCTCATAGTACAGTTGAAAAGAAACTTTTAAAAACAGAGATTACAGAGCCAGAGATTTAGCTCAGTGGTGCCCACCTGCCTTGCAAGCTCAAGGTCCCAAGTTTGATCCCCAATATGAAAAATCAAAAAACAAAAACCAAAAAACAGATTACATGGCTATTGCACTATAGTGACTTCTTATTTCACTGGGGATAAAAGCATTTCAATAGCCTACAAATCTCTTCATAACCTGAATTGTCACAGCCTCCTACACTCTGACCACACTGCTTATTACTCTCTGCTTCCGCTCAGCTCCAGCCTCACTAGTCTCCTGTATTCCTTCCTTATGCCAGAGTCTTTTCACCCTGTTTCTCAGATGTCCACGTGCCTAATTGCCCTACCTCTTTAAAGATTTTGTTCAAAATACCATCTTTTCAGTGAGGCCTACCTTGGTCACCCTAGCTAAAGATATAACCTTCAATTCTAGTGAACTCTCAACCCTTCTTTTAACTTGTTTTCTTAGCTTTTTTTCTTAGCATTTATCATCTTCTAGAATACCACAAAGTTCTTTATTATGTTTATTGTATGTTTCCTCTGTCTACCTCTAAATAATAAGTTTATAGATACCCTGATGGTTTCAACTGGCCTTTGCCATTACTCCCCACTCTAACCATCCAGATCCTCTCTTATCATTAACTCAGATCTTTCTGAAGAGCCACCCAAGGTCTGGTCTATTTGGTCTCTCTATTTAAGATCTAATAAGGCATATCTCAATGTTGGACAAGTTTTGAACCTGAAAACAGTGTTCATAAAACTCTGACTTTTCAATAGACATAGTCAATTTGCCTCAGAGACTGACTAATGTGAGGATAGCTAAATTGGTTGCCAAAATTAATCATTTTCAACACTTATTTGAGTTTTCCACAGTAGAGCTCACTGTATTACTTAGAAGCCTCTCATTTAGATGATATATGAATATAATTTGCATTCTGGTGCCTCAAAAAAGAGAGCACTCTTAGATTTCTCAGGTAACTGAACAAAAACAAAAGACATGTTGGGCCTAAATAAAAAGAAACTGACAGCTGCTAGAATCAGCCCAAGAAAAGAAATTATTAGCTGGGCGTGGTGGCGCACGCCTGTAATCCCAGCACTCAGGAGGGTGAGGTAGGAGGATCACTGTGAGTTTGAGACCAGCCTGGGCTATATAGTGAGTTCCAGGTCAGTCTCAACTACATAGTGAGACCCTGTTTCAAAAAACCAAAAAAAAAAAGACTAGAAATTATTCAATCCTAGAATCCAATTTTTATCCTTATTAGTCTTAGTACTTCTCTTAGAATTAAAACCACATACCTAGATGCATCAAGAAATGGTCTGTGGACCAGGCTGATCCATTCTTCTCTATTGGATGAATATCTCGGCTCCCGGGGTGTTTCTCTCATGGTGTCCAAATCTACTAAATAGTGACATTTACTGATGTCTATCTGAAATACAGAAAAGCCAACTCTTCATCAGTAATTACAAAAGTCCCTGCAGGGTTGTAAACAAACAACTGTAATTTTAAGAATTCCCACATGGCTTCAGAGGAACAAATATCCAAGTCCTCAGACAATGTTACTTGTGTACTCTTCACTCAGAAGAGTGCTGGGGTATTATTTAGGCTTGTGAGGCAGTAGCATGTGTGCACTCACTTAAGTTATTAAGTCTCCTAGCCCCAAAGACATTTAAGAAGCCACCATGAGTCCACAACCTACCTCTGGTAAACCTATTTTCTGCTCATTATTACCCCTTTCCAGTCTATCACATCTTATTTCAGAAATTGAAAGGATATGTCTAAACACAGGTGCTAATATGTGAGGAAGCCCTGACTCTCCTGACAGCCATGAGAAGTTACATTGCATCCCACAGGCAGCATAGCAACATCAAGAATATCAGCACCTTCAAAAAGTGAAAAGAATTGACAATAAAACTGTCTTGCACCAAAAGTTCAGTAAAACTGAGATATCAGAACAGCAGGAATAAAGATGAAAAATACATAATATTAGCAGAACTAGAGTTACTCAGGTGCTTGAAGATGGATTCACCAGAGCTCATAGAGAATATGAATACATGTCATTTAAATCCATATTGCTACTTCTCAAAAAAGTGATTAATTCAATGAACGTGGTACACAATCTGTAGGATTCTTTTGTGCTTAAATAGTTCACCTCAAATTAAACTTACATTCTACCTCTTCTCTCCAAGCCTTTAGAATATTTTGCGGGCATAGGAGGAAAAAAAATTATGCAATTTCTATGAGGTAAAATAAAGCCCAAAAAGGGGGAAAAAAGTCTACTAATATGGTCAGTTAAAAAAGTAAATCTCAAGGAAAGGAAAATATTTTTCAATGTATTTTACATGCAAACTATGTTACATATATTTCTAAATCATAAAGTCTATTTTTATAAATCAAACAAGCAAGACTCAAATTAACTTCATTTTTTTCAACATATGTATTTTTTCAACATACATATTTGATGTACTAGCCATTAAGTCAGAGTTAAGGATACAGAGCCAAATAAATAAGATACAATATCTGCCCTAAAAGTATTTACATTTCTGATCAAAATCATATGAGCATATAGCAGAGCCATATTTGGAACCAAATCAGTATAACTTCATAGGCCATATCTCAAGATTGTGAAAAATTCACGGAATCAGAGGCAAAGAGCTTTCAGAAGCTCATCTAAATGTTTCTTAAAAATAAAAATGGGAAGTAGCTCAGAGGTAGAGTGTTTGGCTTATCATGCCCTGAGTTTGGTCACCAGAACCATAAAAATTAGTCAGATAATTAATCTAATTTAAAAAGAAATCCTCTTAATTTATCAGGCTTCAGTTAAGATAGGAATCACCTAGCCACGTGTGGTGGCATATGCCTGTAATCTCAGAACTTGGGAGGCTGATGAGGTAGGAGGATCAACATGAGTTTGAGGCCAGCCTGGGCTACATACTGAGTTCAAGGCCAGCCTGAATCACATATCGAGACCCTATTTCAAAAAAACAAAAAACAAAAATGTTGGGGATTTATCTCAATGGCACTGTGCCTGCCTTGCAAGCACAAGGTCCTGAGTTTGATGCCCAGTATGAAAAAAAAAAAAAGGCCACTAAACCGAGTATGGTGGCACATGCCTAAAATCCTAGCACTTGGGAAGGGAGAGGCAGGAATTAATTTGAACAATGTGTGTGTGTGTGTGTGTGTGTGTGTGTGTGTGTGTGTGTGTATACATACATACATACATACATACATACATCCTGAACCATACAGTGAGTTCAAGATCAGCCTGGATTACACAGACAGACCTTGTCTCAAAAGATAACAAATGACAGACAGACCCTGTCTCAAAAGATAACAAATGGCTGGGGATTAAGCTCAGTGGTTCCACTGCCTACCTCACAAGGGCAAGGTCCAAGTTCGATCCCCCATACCAAAAAACAAAAACAAACAAACAAAAAAAAACCCCAAACTAACAAAGCCATCTATTGTATAATTAAATTACATGAAATGTTCAGAATATGTCAACTCTCCAAGACAGAAAACAAAGGTCTATAAGGACTGAAGAAGCTAATGAGTATGAGTTTTGCAGGCAGGAGAAGGGTGATGAAAATGTTCTAAAATTAATTATTGGTGACAGTTGTACAACATTACAAATGTACTAAAAACTGCTGAATTATATACTTAAGATGGTAGATTTTACTGTGTAAATATTAGATACTGCTTAAATACAATCTCCATTAAAAATCCCAATAGACATGTGAAACTTGACAAGGTGATTCTAAAATGTACATGGAAGGCCAGGGATTAAGCTCAGTGGTTCCAGCGCCTGCCTTGCAAGCACAAGGACCTGAGTTCGATCCCCAGTACCAAAAATAAAATAAAATGTACATGGAAATGCAGAAGGACAAAAAGAACCAAAGTACTCTTAGAAAAGAACAAAGCTTTCTATAACTGTAAAGCTACAGAAATTAAGACAGTGACGTACAGTGTCAATAGATTAATGAAAAGAAATGAAGAGCCTAGCACAGATGCAGGCATACATGAAACTTGATTTGTAATAAAAGTGATACTCATATGTACAAAATCTGTACCAACTGGCAGAATCTACTAAAATTTTATTTTATTTTATTTTTTGTTACTGGAGATCCAACTTGGGACCCTGCACTTGTGAGGAAGGCAGCAGATACCACTGAGCTAAATCCCCAGCCTGAAAGTTTGACAATCTTATTATTTTTTTTTTTAAACCGGGGATCAAATTCAAGGCCTTGAGCTAACAAGGCAGGTGCAGAACCACTGAGCTAAATTCCCGGCCCTAAAATTTAAAAAAGATATCTTTTATAATTCAGCAATTATAGGGGATTAGTTAATACCTAAATCTAAATATTAGATTACATCATATGAAATAATTAATATTTGATGTTTGATCCACAAAAATGGTAACTGTATGTGGTTCAACCTAAAGTATATCCAACAGAAATATTTGCATTCAAACACAAGTTCAATAAAGTAAACCACCAAACCTTCATCAATAGTAAAATAATAAATAAGTTGTAGTGCAGTTACACACTGAAATATTGCACATAATAAAAGATAACAAACTATAGTTATATGTAGTAACATGTGATTATTAAAATATGATGTGCAGTTAAAGATCAAGATATAAAAGAGTATTGGTAGTATGATTCAGGGAAAATATACCTAAAAAGCTTAGGACACATGTAAATGTGGTAAGTCAAAAGATCAAAGCAAAGAAATTACCACCATAGGTTAGCAGACTATTTCTGATTGGGGTTACTGAAGTGATCAAAAGGAATTACTGGGAAGCTTTCGGGTGCTGGGCATGTTCTATAATTTGACCTAGTAATGGCTGCATAGGCACTTGATCTATCATCATCATTATCATTTTACTGTATACTCATATTTTGTACATATTTAGGCTTATAGATTATACATAATTGAAAGTTTTAAAAACATGCACGGAAGAGCTACTTGGTCATCTCTAGCTTATAATAAACTCTGTTTTTTCTCACCTACTACCTCCCAACAATGTTCTCATTCTCTCCCAGCATTATTTATATGTAAAAAAAAAAAATACTTCAGTCTCACATCTGTCTCTACATATGGGTTTTTCCTCCAGGGCAGAGAAAGCACACTGAGAATTGACGTCAGACCCAATTCCATTCCACATAACTCTCTAAAAATGATCCTTTGCATAAACATTTCAGGAAAGTAGCCTTTTTTGTCTGAACACCCACTCTGTAGCTCCCAAGCAATGTAAGAACATGAAAGAAAAAATTTTTAAAAGGCTTTACAAGTGCTATGCCCCTGTAATCAATAGAACCAGTAAGAGGCAGTGACTTTTATGGTTTCATGCTTAGCTTCTTTTTAGAAGACAGTCTTTGGGGGCCAGGGATTTAGCTCAGTGGTTCCACTGGCTGCCTCACAAACATGAGGACCTGAGTTTGATCCTCAGTATCAGAGAGAGAGAGAGAGAGAGAGACAGACAGACAGACAGACAGAGAGAGAGACAGACAGACAGAGAGAGAGACAGACAGACAGCCAGAGATAGTCCTTGGTATGAGATTTCCACATTTTATTTCTACAGGTCTGGTTATCAAGTTCTGGTGTTGAGTACACAGTCTAACAGAGAAGTGAATGATAACTAATTAATACTCAACTACACCAGTAAGCTTTGGCTTCACATGTCACATTATCTGTAAATAAATTCCACTTAATTTCTATGTAAAAGTCTTAGAAAGATACCAAGGCAAAACATACTAATTGAGATACTACTGATCAATTAAAAATTTGACCTGTTTTTTATCCTTGCCGGGAAACAAATATTAAAACACACAAGGATGAAGGCCTCCAAGAAGATAGGAATGATCAAATAGCAGGTTCTTCATTAGAGGAAAAACAGGTTATTATAAAGGGGATTTAAAGTCAGGAGGCCTACATGCAGATCTGGCTATTTACCCCAAGCTAGCTGGTGACCCATACTCACTTAAGCGTTTCAAATTCCAGTATCTTCTTATGTAAAATACAATGCTACTTATCTCAAACAGTTATAATGAGGATTAAAAGAAATGAACTACTTAAAACTTGTAAACTAAATAGGATTACACCAATAGTTGGAATGTTAGAAAAACTTCGATGAAATCTGTGAAATGTGAAAATTTAACTGATAGAAAAAGACTACCAGAGCATTAAAACCCATTAAAATGAATTACTTTTGTCTCAACCTAGATTGGTCTACTGACAGTTCAATCTAAACCCAATATGCAGGATGAAAGGGCTACAACATTAACTACTCATAGTCCCTGATTAGCAATGAATTGGCAGCATCCACTAAATGATATCAAAATCAAATCTCTGAGTATCAGCAAAACATTTAGTAAGTACACATCCTGGGAATCCTAAACTAGACGATACAAAACTGTTTCAAGAGAG